CTGGGTCCCCAACACTGGGCTGGCCTCATTCCTGGGTCCCCAACACTGGGCTGGCCTCACTCCGGGTCCCCGACACTGGGCTGGCCTCACTCCGGGTCCCCATCACTAGGGTGGCTTCACTCCGGGTCCCCGACACTGGGCTGGCCTCACTCCGGGTCCCCGACACTGGGCTGGCCTCACTCCGGGTCCACGACACTGGGCTGGCCTCACTCTGGGTCCAGCAGCCTCACAGACGGGGTCGCTTAGGCCCCAGTGAAAGGGAGTGAGGTGGAGTCATCAGGGCGAGGACCCAGGCCCAGGGCACCCTCCGCCCAGGGCGACTGATCAGGTACCAGCGTCCTGGGCCAGTTGCCCAGGGCTTGGGTGACTGGCGTCATCACGTCATCCCATGTGCCACCCTGCCGAGTCTCTGAGTCCCTTATCACCGCGCATCATTAATATTAGGAGCTGCCCAGCAGGAGCGGACTGGGCGGGGCACAGGCTCTGGCTGGAGGTGGACTCTGCCCCAGCCGCTTATCTCAGGGGGAGCGGGTTCCTGGGGGTGGGCCAGGAGCTGCAGCACCAGCGGGGCTGTACCTGGCACAGGCAGAGGTGATAAAGCGCCGATGGGCCTGATAAGGCGGAGTGGGGGCGCTGCTGCGCCCGGACGGGCCCGGCCCAGCTTCCACTCAGAGGCTGGGGCTCCAGTGCCTCTTTGATTTATAGCCAAAAATAATAGGACTTTTATACTCTGCGAGATTGATTTATTTGATGTTAATCGCAGCCCTTATCGCCTGTATTAATAATCTGCCGTGCGTGTGACGTCACCAAGTGGGGGGGGCTCTCTGGGGCACAAATCGATTGGGGACCTATGCTGGTTATCAGGCCTGGCTGGGAGGCAAATATGCCCTTTGGGCCGATGGGGGGCCGAGGGCGGGGGAGCCGGCTGGTGCGGCAGCCAGGGTGGACCGTCTGTCCGAGGGCTCTAATTATTAACAGCGGCGGGAATCGCAGCTGTTAATGAGGAGCTGGGTGGTGGAAGCTGAAAGAAAGCCGGGGGACTGTCTGACCCCCCTCGCCCCCCCACCTCCCACCAGCTGGGGCTGAGAGCCAGGAGTTGGGGGCTGGGGAGGGGGCTATGTCCTGGGGGCGGGGCCGGAGCGACACGTGGTGCTTTTTCTCTACAGACGCAGAGCCGCCTCCACCCCCACCCCCACAGCCACACCCCACACCCCCAGAAGGCCCCGGGGAAATGGAGGGGCAGGAGACGGAGACCCAGCCAGAGGAGGCCTCGGACAGCACCTGGAGTGGACCAGGTAACGCAGGCGGGTGGCCCTTGGGCCTGCAGCTGAGGCCGGGTGATCTGGTCAGCCACCTTGCTGGTGGGCACCTGCGTGGCCTCTGTGTGGCAGGGCTACTGCAGCCGGCTGGCGGAGGCGCCCCAGAGCAGGTGTGCCGGTCCTGTGGGAGCAGGCAGGTGGCAGGAAAGGCTGAAGCAGATGGTGCAGCCGGAACAAAGGCACCCCAGAGGAGGCCATGTCATGCCACCCAGCCTCAGACCCTTCAGTACACGTGGGGAGGCCCTGTCCAGGAGTCATCTGTCCCTGCCTGTCACCCCACACTGGACACCCCATCCACCCCTTGCTGTTCCTCAGGATTCCTGTGGACCTCCCACTGTCTCCTTATCATAATTAACCAGGAGCTTGCTCCCTCGGTTGCTGGTCGATGCAGCAGGATGTGGTGGGCAGCCCAGCCCAGCCCAGCCGTGGTGGCCCTTGGGTGGAGGGCGCACAGAGGCGGGCAGCATGTATTGACAGGTTCCCTGCTGCACACAGGCATGTAGCCCAAGGGGAACTGCCTACGTGTGACCTAACTGAGGACAAACAAGGTTTGGGAGGCCTGGTACAGTGGAAGCAGTCGGCTTTCTGGGGGTACAAGGATCCTGCTTCTTTAGGGACCCCAAGAAACCCAGGTGGGAAGGGAACACATGGGCTCCTGGCAGCTTGTCTTCCAGCGGCCTGCTCGCTGCTCAGTGCTGACATCAATTAGTGATGTCTGCCAAAGGCACCCAAGGTGGCTCCTCACTGGCCCAGCACAGGGGCGCTGTCCCCACTCAGCCGCTCCAACCTGGGCAGGAATGGGGCAGCCTCCAGTGGACAGACCAGCCATGGGGAGAGCATGCCGGTTGTCCTCATATCCTAGGGACCCCTGCCAGGAGGAAGGCCGAGGCAGCGATGGAGCGAGGCTGGAGGGCTAGCTGCTGTGGACCCAGCGAGGGCTGGCTTGGTGAAGAGGTGGCGGCGGCTGTGGCATTCGGTCCAGAAGGCCCGTGGCCCCGTTTGCAGATGGGGAGGTGAGCCCCAGCCGCAGAAAGGCTGGGCTGAGGTGGGGGCTGGGAGCTTCCAGTGCTACTTGGACCCTCCCTTCCAGGCTAGGAGGACAGGGATTTCTGAGCCGTGGGCACCATAGGGTGATAGCAGCAGCCCACCAACCGCCACGCGGCCTATCAGGCCCCCACAGGCCCCTTATCACCCCCGGGACTTTGGAGGCTTATCTCAAAGGGCTGCCCAGGCCTTGGGGCACAGGGCTCTGCGGCCGAGCAGGGCCAGTGGCTGACAGGACAATGACCACTGTGACCAGAGGTGCACAGGGTCTCGGTCTCAGCTGCCTCTAGCCCTCTGTCTCTCCCTCTCCTTGTCTCTCTGTTGTCTCTCTGGCTCTCACCCCCACTCCTCATCCTTGTCTCTCCCTGCCCAGGACCCGTTCCCGGGGACAGCCTCTGGGGTGTAGGGGGAGAGGAGGGGAGGGGATCTCCCAGCAGGTGCCTGATGGCGGAGCAGGGTCAGACACAGCCCAGGACTCAGCACACACTGGGTACCATGTGATGCGGGGATCCACAGGCCAGCCCACCTCCTGGTTCTCCACCTGCAGGGTGCCTAAGACCCAGCCTGCGCCTTCCTGCAGGTGGGCAGAGGGAAGCTGTGTCCAGGTCAAAGCTGGAGGGGAAGTCCTCGTAGCCCCCTACAGAAGGAGGGTGAGCAGGGGCTGGGGCCTTGTGAGCTGTGACCCACTAACCCGGGGTGTGCATGGTCACCACCACTCCCCCTCCCCTCAGCCTCTGGCCCCTGTGGCCCAGGCCCCCAGTACTCTTCTGTGGCTGCTGTCACCTTGAAAAGTGACGTGGGCCTCAGCTTCCAGCAGCCCCAGCCTCAGCCTGGCTGCTTCCATCTGGGTTGCTACTGACCGAAGGCCTCGGGCAGGCTGCCTGGGCGCTTGGGCCTCAGTTTCCCTGTCTATCCACAGACATGAGGTAAGGGAGGCAGCCACCTGGTGAGCTGCTGTCTGGATGGACGTGCAGCAGGAGTGGGGCGGGGGCGTGAGGAGAGAGCCCAGCTCAGGGCAAGGTCCCTGTCTGTCCACAGAGGGTTAGAGGGCCAGGGGAGATGGACACAGGGGCCACGGGGTGGAGAGGGGGACACAGACTGGGGACAAAGGATATGGACTCAGAAAGCCACAGACACCAGGCCGGGGACAGGGGAAATGGACATAGGGTCCTGGAACACCCTCGATACCCCCTCCAGCCTCACCACCCACTCCCTTCTGTCCACCCCACCTGCAGCCTGGAGGAGGGTCCGCATGCCGAGGGGAGACAGTATTTTTATCTTTGAAATGACCTTGTTCGCTGTAGGGGCTGCCTGTTTAAAATTCCGATATGCAAATTGGGTGATAGCTGTAATCTGTAATCCTCGGCTCAGAGCCAGCTTTTCAAGGGCGGGGGTTCAGAGTGGACTCAGACGAGGGCCAGCCAGGGACACCATGTTGACCCTGGGGGCCTGTGCCCACCCTCCTTCACATCCCAGCCGTGAGGCCACTGAGACCCTCTGCAGTGCTGGCCCAGATCTGGCCACCCACTCCAGTGCTGGGCTGGGTAGAGACAGGGAAAGCCCCCAGCCCTGTGGTCCCTGGAGCAGAGCTCAGCTTTTGGGGAGCAGTTGCAAGCTCCTCAGAGCTCCCTGGGTCCTTCACACAGCTTCCCTGTCCTGCTAACAGCCATGAGGGCCGCCAGGGGCTGGTGCCGTTAGGGAAACTGAGGCTGAAAAGGCAGGAGGAGATGCTGGGACATGGGTGGGGCTGAGTCTGCCAGGATGGGGGTTTCCTTGTACCTCACCCCCACCCACGAGGACCACAAGTCTCCCTCCTGGCTGTTCCACCCCCAGCATGCATCACTGGTGGCCACGAAGAGTCTGGTCAGTCGTTGGGCATGCGTCACTGTCTTGCCCAGGAGAAGGCCTGGGAAAAGGCCTGTGGGCAGTGAGGGCCCTGAGCCATGGAGGTAGACCAGAGAGTGGTGGAAAGGATGGCCGTTCCAGGGAGGGGCAGGGGTGGGTGCAGACCAGCAAGCCCCCTCCACCCACCCAGGCAACACTTGAGGCCCACGTGCTGCCGGTGTCTGGGGCGCCAGGGTTCACGGCCTCTGTGGGTGAGCCCTGGGGTTGCCCCGACAGTGCCTGCCCCCAATTCAGGCGGGGGCGGGGACTGTGAGCCTCGGAGCCCCGCCCCCGTCCGGGTTGGCAGCTGGGGGGGCCTCAGCCCAGTGGGAGCAGGCCGACTCTTATCTGGGCCCCGCCCGCTGACTTATCTCCCCGGCCCTGGGCCTCCGAGTGAGCTCAGGCTGGTTATCGGCTGCGGGGCGGCCTGGTGGCCAGGCTGATGGACAGTGAGCGGGGAGATGATCCGATAGCCGGCCGCAGCCCCGCCCTGCAGCATGGCCTGTGTGGGTGGGAAAATCATTTCAGCTATTTCACTTTATCGCCGCCGATGCGGCAGCCAGAGCCCCTATTTGCCTTAGATTAACGGGTGGGGGCTGGGATGGAGACGGGACGGGACAGAGAGGTGCCGGGGGTCACCCTGGGGTCAGCTCAGACCTAGAAAGGGGGTCCACATGAGCAGTACCTAAAGCAGCGGTTCTCCAACTCCCTAATGCCAAGACCCTTTCATACAGTTCCTCATGCTGTGGTGACCCCCCAACCACAAATTATTTTCGTTGCTACTTCATCGCTGTCATTTTGCTACTGTTATGAATGGGGCAGCCCCTGTGAAAGGGTCTTTCGACACCCAACCCCCCAAAGGGGTCTCGACCCACAGGTTGAGAACCGCTGCCCTAGAGCCTAACCCCAGCCCTCCGCAGCCCCTCAGAGGACACTCCCACAGGAGCCCCCTTCACATGCTACCCCTCCCCAGCACCCTTGTCTGAAAGGCTGGGAGACTTGGGGGTTATTACAAGAGGGGGAACAGACTGGGGTCTCACACTGATCCCCTCACCTCCTGGGGCCCCAGGCACCCACTCTACAGGGCCTGTGTGTTGGCTTCTGCGAGGCTTTCTGGTGACTCAGCAGTTCAGGTGTTCGGTTACTAAACCAAAGGTCAGCAGTTCAAACCCACCATCCACTCTGTGGGGAAGGATGAAGGGGCATGCTGCCCTGGAAGCCCCTGGGGCAGCTTTGCTCTAAGCGGGTTTGGGCTCCAGACAGGGGTCTGGGTTGGGTGTGTGGGGTGGGGGGTTGGGGCTGGCATTCTGTTTAAGAAACTAGATGCCAGACAGCAGTGAGGGGAAGACAACACACACACACACACACACACACACACACACACACACACACACTCACCCACCCACTAGACTGTGAGAGAAAGGCCCCCAGGCCTAGGGGAGAAGGTACTAGGGACAGTGGCTAAGGGGGTGGTGGCAGGGAGTGTGGCCCGGGCTGCCTGCTGTGGCAGTGGAAAGTGGTATTTGGATGGGCAGCCGCCAGGTCCGGCTATGGGTGAAGGCAGGGGTCTCAGAAGCAGGCTTTGAAGGGCAGTGGTTCCTACCAGTTTGGTGGGTGGTAGTGGCTGCTTATCATAACCCCAGGTACTTCCCCGGCCCACCTGGAGGCCAGAGGCCGGAGCTCTGGCCTCACTCATCTTCGGAGTTCAGAGCTGCTAGCTCCACCAAGCAGAGCTTGGCACAGGCCCCCGCCTCCCCCCAGACAGGCCACAGGCACCATACACCCACTGGCCTAGCTGCGGGCCTCCACGCCCCCAACACAGTTCAGCCCTCCTGGCCCACATGCAGGTCTCGCCGGCACTGCCTGTTTGCCAAGGCTCTCCCCCCTAGCTGGAAGGGAAACCGAGGCACCGGCTAGGCCACAGTCCCCAGAAGCTGACTGCTTAACCCTTAGCTGCCCCTTGGTGTAGGCATCGGCCCAGCCTACCCTGGCCCTCTGGTAGCCATCATCATGGTCTGGGCTGGGCTGGGACCTCCACCCTCACCAAG